ACGTGTGCTGCTGAGGTGAACAGAGCAATTGTTAAAGTGTGTTGATTTTAGAGAGGGGAAGGGAGAGACAGAGACAGAAAGGGAAACACTGATTTGTTGTTCCACTTATTTACGTATTTATTGGTTACTCCTTTTTAAAGATTTTATTTATTTTAGAGAGATGGGGAAGGGAGGAAGAGAGGCAGTGAAACATCAGTGTATGGTTGCCTCTAGCACATCCCATGCTGGGGACCTGGCCTGCAACCCAGGATTGTGCCCTGACCAGGAATCAAACGGGCCATGCTTTGGTTCACAGGCTTGCGCTCAATCCACTGAGCTACACCAGCCAGGGCTGATTACTTCTTTAAAAAATTTTTTTTATTTAATTATTTTTAGAGACAGGGGAAGGGAAGGAGAGAGAGAAACATCGATTGGTTGCCTCTGGCACACCCCTAACTGGAGACCTGACCTGGAACCCAGGCATGTGCCCTGACTGGGAATTGAACTGGTGACCCTTTGGTTCATAGGCCTGCCGTCAATCCACTGAGCCACACCAGCCAGGGCAGTTGGTTACTTCTTGTATGTGTCCTAATGGGAGACTGAACCCTCCATCTTGGCATATCAGGATGACGCTCTAATCAACTGTGCCACACCACCAGGGCCACAATTAAATTTTTAAAAACTGCAGTGCAGTAGTACTCACACCCAAAGTCTCTAACATGAGAATTCTGAATTTAATCTTTATTGTATTTTTCCATTCCCATTTAGTCCCCTTATACCGGCCCCTCCCTACCCCCAGCAATCACCACACTGTTGTCCATATACATGAGTCCTTTTTTCTTTTTGCTCAATCCCTCCAAAAAATGAAAATTCTGACTGTGGACATAGGGCAATTGGAAGTCTGATACATTGTTGGAAGGAATGTAAATTGGTTCAATCACCTAGGCAATTTGAACTTATGCACATCCTGTAGCCCAGCAATTCCAATCTTAGATGCATACTCAATAGAAATGCCTCTATGTATGCACTAAAAGTCATATACAAGAATTTCCATAGCACCACTCATAAGCTCAAAGAGGAAACAAGCAAAATGTATGTCAATAGAATAGGAAATTACAGCTTTTTCACACAATGGAACTATAACTACTCACAGGATGGACAAATTTTACAATTCCATTTGTATTTAAGTCAGTGTCGTAGTTATCCTTGGGGAGGATGCAAACGGCGGCTCCCGCAGTGCTGGTAATGTTTTTTCTCTGGGTGCTGTCTAAATGGATGTGCTCCCTTTGTACTGTTTGATGACCCTTCACACTTCAGATGTGCATATTTTTTTAGTGTTATGCATCAACAAAACACTAAAACCATAGAAGAAAATATTTGGAGTTATGGAAAGGTACTTGAAGGCAATGTACGGAAAGTGAAATTTTGAATATTTTAATACTTTATACATTGCCTTATTTTTATTTTTTAAATAACAGAAATTTCTTTTCTCACAGTTCTAATGGCTGGAAGCCCAAGATACAAGTGTTGACAGGTTTGGTTTCTCCTGAGGCCTCTCTCCTGCCTTCGCACTGTGTTCATGTGGTCGTCTCCGTGTGCGTGCACCTGTGTGGTGTCTCCCTCCATAACTCAATCCCCTTTTCTCTTTCCCTCCTTTTCTTATAGCCATTTTCAGGCGCCTTAATGAGTTCAATTATCTATAAGGTTCATAACATGGCTTTACTGTAAGTGCCAGCTTTCTCTAAATTTCTGAGGAAATACATTCAGGTAAGTGGACTCATTGACTGGCTTTACACTGCCTGATTTAAAAAAATATTGGATATGTATGCTTATCCTCAGAAAAATCAATAATGCTATTTTTTATTTTGAATGTGGTACAAATATCTGTTTAACTTTAGTAACTTGTTAGGAAAAAACATTGTCTTATTCCTTAAATTATTGTGGATTCTTCACAAATTAAGAGGTTTATTCTAATTCCTCTTAAAAAGAAGTCAAAATAAGAAATGAGTCTGAACTCAACTGCACAGAAAAATAGAAGCAAGTGGAAAAGTATAGTTTAGAGGTAAGAATTTGGAACCTAGAATCAATGTTTTGATTCAAATTTCACATCCCCACATCCTAGCTGAGTGACATTGCCAAGTTTACTTTTGTTCCAAGAATCCTGCTTAGGTGCTTGGTACAGGGCCTGGTATGTGATACAAGTTTAAATAAACATATAGCCCTGGCTGGTGTGGCTCAGTGGATTGAGTACAGGCCTATGAACCAAAGGGCTGCTGGTTGATTCCCAGTCAGGGCACATGCCTGGGTTGCAGGCCAGGTCTCCAGTAAGAGGGCGTGTGAGAGGCAAAAACACATTGATGTTTCTCTCTCTCTCTTTGCCTCTCCCTTTCCCTCTCTAAAAACTAAATAAAATCTTTAAAAAATAAATTCAAAAACAAAAAATATAGCTAATATTACCCCCAATTCCAATAAATAGACAGAGCAACTATACTTTTTTAGATATTAAAAGATTATGAGGGTAGTAAAAATACTGTATTAGCACACAGATGAAAGGGAACACAGAAAAACCACATTAGATGTTGTAATAGTTTGCAAAAGTGACTGGGTGGCTTAAACAACAGATATTTTTCTCAGAGTTCTGGAAGGCTTGAAGTCCAGGGTCAAGGTGTTACCAGGTTTGGTTTCTTCTGAGGCCTCTCTCCTTAGCTGCGGATGGCTGCCTTCTTGTTGTGTCCTCACATGGTCTTTCCTCTGTGCTCCACCTATCTCTGTCCACATTTCCTTTTCTTATAAAGACATATTGGGAAAAGACCCACCCATAACACCTCATTTTACCTTAATTACCTCTTTGAAGGACCTATCTCCAAATACTGGGTTGGCCAAAAAGTCCTTACATTTTTTCCATATGATGGGTCTACTAAGTGTTTCACTGCCTTTAACTTCATTCGAAATTGTGTTAGATTGTATTGTGACTGCTGTCATATGAGCATGCATTAACAAAAACCTATAGAAATTGAATTTTTGTGAAGCCATTTTAATATTGAAGATGGGCGAAGATATGTAACATTTTCAGCCTATTATGCTTTATTATTTCAAGCAAGGTAAAAACGCAACTGAAATGCAAAAAAAATGGGCAGTGTATGGAGAAGGTACTGTGACTGATCAAACGTGTCAAAAGTAATTTGCAGTTTCTTGGTACTATTTGGCCAAATGATTCTTTGCTGTGGGGCTGTCCTATGCATTGGAAGATGTTTAGCAGCACCCCTGGCCTCTACCCACTAAAAGCCAAAAGTAGAAGATAGATGACATACTCAAAATATCCAAATTGATAAAGTTACTAGTGAAAATGAAAAATGTGTCTTTTATTTAAGAGGAAAAAAATGGACCTTTTGCCAGCCCAGTACCCTTATATCTGGAGGTAATGGAGCTAAGGAGTACAGGAGCATTTAGTAATTTAATTTTGAATAATTTGGGGGAAATTGAAATGAATTTTAAGCATAATCCTCTTCCTCCAAATATAGTCCCAAATGTTCAATGGTTTTGTAGAAATCCCACTAGGAAAAACCTGCAAGGATATTTCTTAAATTCTACAGAATGAAAGAAAGCAGAAGTTCCTAAATTTAAAAGTAACAAATGAGGATGAGGGAAAAATCACACAGAAACCAACGATTAGTATAACTGCATACAATAATTTGTCATATGCAAAAAACTTGAGAACCAAAGAGGAAAATATTACTTTTAATGGACCATTATTTGTTACAAAAGTCTATACAGGTAATAAAAATCCTCATGTTCAGAGTTGTAAAGAAGTGCCCTGGCTGGTGTAGCTCAGTGGATTGAGTGTTGGCCTGTTAACCAAAGGGTGGCAGGCTCAATTCCCAGTCAGGGCACATGCCTGGGTTGTGGGCCAAGTCCCTAGTAGGGGGCTTACCAGAGGCAACCACACACTGACCTCTCTTTCCCTCTTTCTCCTCCTTTCCACTCTCTCCAAAAATAAAATATTTATTTATACATGAAAAAAGTAATGATAGGAATGAATAAAGAAAATGTAAAAGCATTTTACAAAAATGTGAAGCAAAGCAGGAACATGATCATTATCACTTATAATCAAAGAAGCATATTTTAAAAGATGTATGTGTGTTTCAAAACCCTCGCAAACAGCTAAAATCCTTTACTGTTAAGGGGTAAAGAAACAGCATGAGTTAAATCAACTCTAACTTTGTGTCTGAAGTCACAGTGCTTTTGGCAATCTCTCCCTACAAGAGTTCTGCTTCTGAAAGTAAAGAAAGTGGAGACAGCAAGGGGTTGGGCTGTTTTGTGCAAATTGGTCGTAGCATTGTCATTGGTAATGGAAAAACAAACCAGCAGGTGCAGGACACCTGTGCAGTTGGTGGGGGAGGGGGAACAGAACAGCTTCTGTCAGTGGAGCTGCCCAGGATCCTCTTCTCTGGTGAGTCCAGCGCCAACGGAATGATAGGTGAACGGCCTCAGCTTTCCTGTGGGAACCCAGGCCAACATGTACAGTTGGAGGCTCCACTCCGAGCAAAAGCACACTTGGTGCCACTCGGGGCCAACCCAGCAGCAACTTCAAAGTTTGAGCTTCAGGGCAGAATCACTGGAATTACCTGAGGGCTTGTTAGAAATGCAAATTCGAAGGCTGAATATCCTACATCAGAATCACTTGAGGAGCCTTAAACTGTTTTAGAAAGCTCTCAAGGTGATTGTTACACACATTAAAGTTTGAGAACAAATGATGCAAAACAAACGAATGAAGAACTCAAACTACACTGACTCTTGCAGATCTGCCTCCTGTGGATGAGGGCCTGACTCTGACCATGAAATTATAAAGGGTTGGCAGTTTCAAAATGGTAGAGACTAAGAAACAAATAAAAATAAAACCACTACTCATCAGACCTTTTATCTACCCCACACATCAAGACATGCATGAACAGTCAATCTTTTGTAAATTTGTTTAATTTTAAGTGAGCAACATACTTTGTGCCATTGAAATAAAGGGGGAATTCATGTGTTTACTACAACAGCATTCACGTTTGCATGAAAATAATCAAACCACTATCCATCAAGTAAAAGGAAAAAGAACGCTGAGATGCAAGGATACTTGCTTCTGCTGAACTTCAGTAGCAGAAGCAGGTCTGTTCCCCTAATGCTCCTGACAGTACTTATCCAACAGGAAGCTGGGGAGTCTGGGGACCTGACGCACGTGCCTTCAGAAACTCCTCAAGTTGTTTCATCTTCTCATCTGGATAAGCAAAAATGCTCAGTTTCAAAATTACTGGTCATTTGCGGGGGTGGGGGCAGGGAGGGGAGCAGGGAGAGTGGAGGAGTGGTGCTGGCAGTGTCATCTCTCAGGGCGGGGGTTCTGAACTTGGGTCTGTAAATGGTGGTGTAGCCAAACAGAGGCTGGCACGAGCAGTGATGGGCCCAAAACCTCAGATCTCAGCTTACTCCAAGGTCCTACTTGGACTCCTCACTAAAGGATGCCCAGGGGCTGTGTGCAGCGTACTGGAGTTAGGAGACTGCAAAAAGCACTAGGAAGGTAAGAGAGGCTGGAAGGAAGCCAGGTACGGTGAGGTGGTTGACCCGGGGCTCCCCTTCCACATGCAGGTTTTAAAGACCCTCACCTCGGGCACGAAGTTTTCGGTACTTTGACGCCAAGCTCAAGAGCAGGCTCTTCACGCGATTTTGTACTCGGGGCTGTCCGAAGACGGTGATTTCGACTAAGCTCCCGGAGTTTACTGTGTCCACCGTCAGCAAGACCTGGTTCACCCACTCCATTTCCGGAACGGTGGCTCGGTCTGGGCCTAAACAGGAAAACAGAGACTCGAGGCGGCGGCACGGTCCAAGGTCAAGAGCACCTAGATTTGAAGAGAATGTGGTCCGGGGAAGGGAAGAGCTGGAATCATGGCGTCAAACGTGGCCGGGTAATTTGGGAAAGACCTTGGAGCTGCCGCGCCAGGCCCCTCTATGACTGGAGGGGCCCGGCCACCCGCACGCCCGGGGACGCTCACCGAAGATCGAGTCGGCCAGCCATGCCTCCAGGTAAAACACCAGCGGGTCCCTCAGTTCCTGCACAGGAAACCACCAGGGCCGGGTGCGGACGCGCGGCATCCCCAGCTGCCCGTCCAGGGACTGGGCGGACGTCCACTGATCGCCCCGGGGCGCAGCGCCTGGCTGGCTGGCCATGCTGGGAGCAGCAGCCCCGGGCGAGACGAGTCCGCGGGTGTGGAACTCCAACCAGGGCGGAGCCTGCGCCCCGCTTTTGTGGTTTCCAGCCGGCGCCCCCCTTCCGGTGCTGCCCCTCCAGCCCATTGACACTGGGCGGAGGCGCTGTGGGGCGCTTCCTGGGCTGCATCCAGCACCTGGGCTTCCTTTTCATCCTGGAATTAGTGTTTGGCTCCAGCTGGGTCTCGGGGCGGTCCGCGGTCTTCTCTGGCAAGTAGAGCACCAGCCTCCAAGGCCCATGCCCCTGCACATGGCTGACTAACAGTGTGGTTTGACTTGGTGACTCTGTGAACTGGAAATCACTTTCCATTCTCAGATTCCTATGTTACCTTCCAGGGGTAGGTAGGTAAATCAGGCCCAGGGCAAGCTCATTAAATCCACATTTTTCTCTCTTCTGCTCCCTATTACCTTCTGACTTTCTGGTTGGTTACTCCTGCTAAATCATTCAAGCAAGTGTTTCATATTTAAAAAAATAAAAGTCAAACGTGTTCCTTATAGAAAACCTAGCAAGTATAGACAGATCCCGCTTACTTCCAAAACCCTAAAACAACTAATATTGATGCTCATTTCTCCCAAATGTTCTTAATTGTAGTTAAAAATTTAAATTATGAAAGCTTTCACACATTCAAAAAGTTATATAAAACAGCCATGAACCATGCCCCCTCCCGCCCCTCGCCCCCAATTAACAAAATGTTAACATTTTTTTCACATTTGCCTCACTCCTCTCCTCTTTAAAATACATATCACTAAAACGTCTTTCCTTTCCCTCCCCACAGGAAATCACTGTCCTGAAGCTGGTACACACCATTCCATCCATGTTCCTATACTTTTTCTAGTGCTTTTCTAGAAATATTATTTGGTAGTTTTAGAATAGATTGCTGTACAAATTGTTTTATTTGTACAACTAGCTATGTGTTTGCTTCTAAAATCACCTTAATGGAAAATGTTGACCATTTATATGTGGGGGATGGTATTAATATCCTGAATTCCTGCATCCACGTCATCTAGGCATCAATAGTTATCAACAGATAATCTGTATGTGAGGAGATATTGGATCTGACTTCAATAGGTATTTTTACTTCTTCAACTGAATTTAAAAAATCAACATAATAATGCCTTCACATTCTAAAAAATGTCTTGAGGACATAAATGTGTGAAAGTTTTTTTATTTAATGTATTCTATTTCAATCTCTTACCAATCCTTTTTCAATTGTGTGTATTCTGAACATCTTCTAGTTTAAATTGCCTTTTCAGTTTAAGGTATCTTTTGATGAATAAATTTTTAACTTTAATATAGTCAAATTCATTATTCTTTATAGTAAGTGTCTAGCTTAAATCCTTTTCTCTCTTTAGGTCTAAAAATATTCACTATACTTTGAACTAGGAATGCTGAAGTTTCTATCTTAACATTTAAATCCTTGTACCATCTGGGTTATTTTTTTAAATTGGCAATTAGGTAGGGAAATAATTTTATCCTTTTATAAATGGGTAATTTTTTGCTTGAGCCATTCTCTTGAGCATACATTCAACCTGAGGCCATTTCATACAAACTCCTTGAAAATTTTAGACTATTATGTAGCATGAGTTAGTCACAAGGCTGGTTTGTACTAATTAAATATCAGATCAAGATACGAGAAAGGCAAAGTCAAGACAACTTCCTTTGCCATTCCCATCTGAATGGCAAAGTTTATTTCTTTCATTTCTTTTTTTGAGTTTTCAATTATTATTTTTATTTTATTTTTTCCGTGACTATATATCCCCTCTATACCCTCTTCTACCTCCACCTTCCCTCACTACAATCACCACACTGTTTGTCCAAATACATGAGTTCCTTCTTTTTTTTTTTTTGCTAAATAACACAATGCCTCAGTCCCACCCCTACCCCAGATGTCAGCCTGCTCTTATGAGTTTGTCTCTATTTTTGTGTGTTAGTTCAGTATGTTTGTTAGATTCCACATATGAATGAAAGTATACACTATTTGTCTTTCTCAGACTGGCTTATTTCATTTAGTATAATATTCTCAGGCTCATCCATAATGTCACAAAGGGTAAAAATTGTCTTCTCTTTTATGGCCAAGGAGTATTCCATTGTGTAAATGTCCCATAGTTGTTTTATCCACTCATCTATTGATGGACCCTTGGACTGCTTCCATATCTTGGTGATTGTAAATAATACTGCAGTGAACATAGGGGTGCTTATGTTCTTTCAAACAACTGTTTTGGGTCCCTTTGGATATATTCCCAGAAGTTGGATCGCTGGGTCAAAAGGCAGATCCATTTTTAATTTTATGAGGTGTCCCCATACTGCTTTCTACAGTGGTTGCACCAATCTGCTTTCCCATCAACAATGCAACAGGCTCCCGTTTCTCCACATCCTCACCAGCATTTGCTGTTTTTTTATTTATTAATGATGGCCATTCTGACAGGTGTGAGGTGGTATCTCATTGTGGTTTTGATCTGCATTTCTCTGATGACCAGTGGCATTAAGCATCTTTTCATATGTCTGTTGGCCATCTGTATGTCCTGTTTGGAGAAGTGTCCATTCAAGTCCTCTGCTCATTTTTTAAATTGGATTATTTGTTTTTTTGGTATTGAGTTTTATAAGTTTTTTTATAAATTTTGGATATTGACCCCCTTATCAGATATATCAGCGAATATGTTGTCCCATTCTGTGAGTTGACTTTTTATTTTGTTGATGATTACCTTTGCCTGTGCAAATACTTTTTGGTTTGATGTAGTCCCACTTATTTATTCTTTTGTTTCCCTTGCCTGGGGAGATGTATCTGAAAAAATACTGGTATAAGCAAAGTTCAAGATTTTGCTGCCTATGTTTTCTTCTAGAATTTTTACGGTTTCAGGTCTAACATTTAAGTCTTTGACCCATTTTCAATTAATTTTTGTGTGTGGTATAAGCAGATAGTCTAATTTCATTTTTCTGCACATATCTGTCAGATTTTCCCAATACCATTTATCGAGTAAACTACCTTTAGTCCATTGTATGTGCTTGCTTCCTCTTTCAAATATTAATTGACTATAAAGGTATGGGTTTATTTCTGGGCTCTCTACTCTGTTCCATTGAGCTATGTGTGTGCTTTTATGCTGGTAACATGCTGTTTTGAGTACTATGGCCTTACACTATAGTTTGATATTAGATAGCATGATTCCTCCAACTTTGTTTGCCTTCTCAGGATAGTTGTTATGTGGGATCTTTTGTGGTTCCAAATAAATTTTTGAAATATTTGTTCTAGTTCTGTGAAATACACCATCGGAATCTTGATGGGAATTGCCCTGAATCTATAGATTGCTTTGGGTAGTGTGGACATTTTAATTATGTTAATTCTTCCTACCCATGAACACAGTATGTGCTTCCACATATTTGTATCTTCTTCTATTTTTTTCTTCAATGTCTTAAAATTTTCCAAGTACAGGTCTTTTACATCCTCGGTTAGGTTTATTCCTAGGTATTTTATTCTTTTTAAATTTTATTTATTTATTTATTTTTAGAGAGGGGAAGGGAGGAAGAAAGAGAGGGAGAGAAACATCAATGTATGGTCGTCTCCCACGTGACCCCCAGTGGGGACCTGACCTACAACCCAGGCAGGTGACCTGACTGGGAATTGAAGTGGAGACCTTTTGGTTCACAGCCCATGCTCAATCCACTGAGCTACACCAGCCAGGGCCATTTTATTCTATTTGAAGCAATTGTGAATAGGATTGTTTTCTGAATTTCCCTTTCTGTTAGTTCATTATTGGCATATAAAAATACAAATGATATCTGGATATTAATTTTGTATCCTACTACTTTGCTGAATTCATTTATCGGTTCTAGTAGTTTCTTGGTGGAATCTTTGGAGTTCTCTATGTACGGAACCATGTCATCTGCAAATAAAGACAGTTTTACTTCTTTCCAATTTGGATGCATTTTATTTCTTCTTTTTATCTTTCTTTTTAAGTTTTTTATTTTAATTTTTTACATTTTTAAAAAATATATTTTATTGATTATGCTATTACAGTTATCCCATTTCCACCCTTTATTCTCCTCTGCCCTGTAACCCCCTCCCACCCACATCCCCCCCACATAAGTTCATGTCATTGGGTTGTATATATAAGTTCTTTGGCTTCTCCATTTCATATACTATTCTTAACCTCCCCCTGTCAATTTTGTACCCAACATTTATGCTTATTTCCTGTACCTTTTCTCCCATTCTCCCCCTTTCCTTCCCTCTCCCCGCTGATGACCCTCCATGTGATCTCCATTTTTGTGATTCTGTTCCTGTTCTAATTGTGTGCTTAATTTGTTTTTGTTTTTGCCTTTTTATAGGTTCAGTTGTTGATAGTTGTGAGTTTGTTGTCATCTTACTGTTTGTATTTTTTTCATCTTTTTCTTAGATAAGTCCCTTTAACATTTCATATAATCAGGGCTGGGTGATGATGAACTCCTTTAAATTGACCTTATCTGGGAAGCACTTCATCTGCCTTTCCATTCTAAATTATAGCTGTGCTGGATAGAGTAATCTTGGATGTAGGTCATTGCCTTTCATGACTTTGAATAGTTCTTTCCAGCCCTTTCTTCCCTGCAAGGTTTCTTTTTGAGAAATCAGCTGCTAGTCTTATAGGCACTCCTTAGTAGGTAACTGTCTCCTTTTCTCTTGCTACTTTTAAGATTCTTTCCTTATCTTTACTTTTGGGTAATGTAATTATGATGTGCCTTGGTGTGTGATTCCTTGGGTCCAACTTTTTTGGGACTCTCTGAGCCAGGAAGTCTATGTCCTTTGCCAGATTAGCGAAGTTCTCCTTAATTATGTTTTCAAATAAGTTTTCAGTTTCTTGCTCTTCCTCTTTTCTTTCTGGCACACCTGTGATTCAGAAGCTGGCACATTTAAAGTTATCCCAGAGGTTCCTAAGCCTCTCCTCAGTTTTTTGAATTCTTGTTTCTTCATTCTGTCCTGCTTATATTCTTATTTCTT